GGAATCTCCATTCCTGGACTTGGCACCCAGCTGGGCTTTACTACAACATCTGGATTCACCTCAACTTCTAGACAAGGAAGCCAGTCTGGCCATAGCACCAAATCTGGACTCGCCTCCATTTCAGGACTAGGAGCTGTGTCTGGAATCTCCATTCCTGGACTAGGCACCCAGCCTGGCCTTACTACCACATCTGGACTCGCCTCAACATCTAAACAAGGCAGCCAGTCTGGCCATGGCACTACATCTAGACATATTGCCATATCTGGACAAAGCACCAGATCTGGACTAGGCACTACCACGATTGGAGTCCCCACACCTGAATTAGGCAGCAAGTCTAGCCATAGCGCCAAATCTGGACACATCTCCATTTCAGGACAAGGTAGCCAGTCTGGCCATAGCGCCAAATCAGGACACATCTCCATTTCAGGACAAAGTAGTCATTCTGGCCATAGCACCAAATCTGGACAAATCTCAATTTCTGGACACGGCAGTCAGTCTGGCCATAGCATCAAATCTGGACATGTCTCCCTTTCTGGACAAGGCAGTCAGTCTGGCCATAGCACCAAATCTGGACACATCATTTCTAGACCACACAGCCTGCCTGGCCATAGCATTAAGGCTGGACACATTTCTGGAGCAGGCAACCAGTCTGGCCATCGCATTGGGTCTGGACTCGCCTCCATTTCAGGACAAGGCACTACCACATCTGGAGTCTCCATTCCTGGATTAGGCACCCAGTCTGGCCTTATTACCACATCTGGACTAACCTCAACCTCTAGACAAGGCAGCCAGTCTGAATATAGCACCAAATCTAGCCATATCTCCATTTCTGGACAAGGAAGCCAGTCTGGCCATAGCACCAGTTCTAGACTTACCACCATTTCTGAAAAAGGCAGTAATGCTGGCCATAACATCAAACCTGTATTTATCTCCATTTCAGGACAAGGCAGCCAGTCTGGCCGTAGCACCAAATCTGGACACATTTCCATTTCTGGACAAGGCAACCAGTCTGGCCATAGCACCAAATCTGGACACATTTCCATTTCTGGACAAGGCAACCAGTCTGGCCAAAGCATTAAATCTGGCCACATCTCCATTTCTGGACAAGGAAGCCAATCTGGCCATAGCACCAATTCTAGGCTTACCACCATTTCTGGACAAGACAGCAATGCTGGCCATAACATCAAAAATAAATTTATTTCCATTTCTGGACAAGACAGCCAGTCTGGCCATAGCATCAAATCTGGACACATTTCCAATTCTGGACAAGGCAGTCAGTCTGGCCACATCTCCATTTCTGGACAAGGCAGCCAGTCTGGTCATAGCATCAAATCTGGCCACATCTCCATTTCTGGACAAGGCAGCCAGTCTGGCCTCAACACCAAGTCTGGACTTACCTCCATCCTAGAAGAAGGCAGTAATACTGGCCATAACATCAAGCCTGTGTTCATTTCAGTTTCTGGACAAGGCAGCCAGTCTGGCCATAACATTAAATCTGGGCTTACCTCCATTTTAGATCAAGGCAATAATGCTGATCGTAACACTAAGCCTGTGTATATCTCCATTTCAGGACAAGGCAGCCAGTCTGGCCATAGCACCAAGTCTGGACACATCTCCATTTCTGGACATGGCAGCCAGTCTGGCCATGATTTTAAGTCTGGACTTACCTCCATCCTAGAGGAAGGCAGTAATACTGGCCATAACATCAAGCCTGTATTCATTTCAGTTTCTGGACAAGGCAGCCAGTCTGGCCATAACATTAAATCTGGGCTTACCTCCATTTTGGGTCAAGGCAGTAATGCTGATCGTAACACCAAGCCTGTGTTCATCTCCATTTCAGGACAGGGCAGCCAGTCTGGCCATAGCACCAAGTCTGGACACATGCATCAAGTCTGGACTCACCTCCATTTCAGGACAAGGCAGTAATTCTGATCATAACACCAAGCCTGTATTTATCCCCATTTCTGGCAGCCAATCTGACCATAGCATCAAGTCTGGACTCACCTCCATTTCAGGACAGGGCAGCCAGTCTGGCCATAGCACCAAGTCTGGACACATCTCCATTTCTGGACAAGGCAGGCAGTCTGGCCAAAGCATCAAGTCAGAACTTATTTCAGAACATGGCAGCCAGTCTGGCTTTAACACCAAGCCTGTATTATTATCAATTTCTGGACAAGGCAGCCAATCTGGCCATAGCACCAAGTCTGGACACATCTCCATTTCTGGACAAGGCAGTAATTCTGATCATAACACCAAGCCTGTATTATTATCAATTTCTGGACAGGGCAGCCAAGCTGGCCCTAACATCAAATCTGGACTCTCCTCCATTTCTGGACAAGGCAGTAATTCTGACCATAGTACTAAGTCAAGATTTATCTCTATTATCTCCATTTCTGGACAAGGCAGGCAGTCTGGCCAAAATATTAAGTCTGGACTTACCTCCATTTTAGATCAAGGCAGTAATGCTGATCGTAACACCAAGCCTGTGTTCATATCCATT